AAAAAAAAAAAAAAAAAAAAAAAAAATTAAGTTTAGAAGGATAGGATTAATTTACAGAGGAACTTAAAAGTCAAATTAAGAAAATCTGACTAACAATCAATGACTGAAGACTTTAGAGCAATAAGCTGACATGAAAAAAGTAGACAAGAGTCATCTCATAGCAGTAGGATAGCTTTAATGATAAACACAGTGGAAGCTGGGAAACCTATTAGAAAGTGAATTCTATAGGAATCAATCAGGGTTACATCTGCAGAAAAAGTACAAAAGGAATAGATTTACTAATTACACCTAAGACAGCAAGGGCTTGACAAAGATCTCCAAGATTCTGTAATAGAGAAAAAATAAGGTTTGTTTAGCCAGGTCTCAGTAAAATCAGTGCTGGGTAAGTTATTTAACTTCTCTGAGCCTTTGCTTCCTCAGATACAAAAAGCTATTTACCTTTGTCTGGATGTAAAGAAGACTAAACAAGAAAATGCATACAAAGCATCTAGAACACAACAGGTACTCAATAAGTGATTTTGTTTTTCAACCTCTCTCCCTTGGCTCCCCTTTATCACTTAAAAATTCTGTTTGAGAACTCAACAATACAGCAGGTAATCTGTCTACCAGCTGTCATTTTAGAACTGGCAAAACTGAGTTAATGAGAAATTAAATGACATATTCAATGGCATACAAGTAGTTACCTTCACTGCTGGCACCAGCAGACAGATACATTGACCATATAACATATAAAAAGTAGTCAGAAACTATGAACACAGAATCTAAAGACCTATCTTTTACTAATGTAAGATCTGATTCATAAATTCAAAAACATTTAAACTTGACTGTTTCCTCCACAATACAAAAGGGCAATCCATTTTAACATAAGCCATTTTTTAACACACATACCAAATTCCAACGGAAATGGAATTTCCAAATAAAGACCTTGCATTACAGAAGGAAAATTAACTTAAATATAGGGGAACTTCAGACACAGTCAGCAATAAATTTACTCACCTTCCATGGGCATGGAAATCTAGACGTAAAAACTGGTCCTCATGTGAGACTGCTCTTTTGGCACGCTGGTGTTTTTGGTGTAACGAATCCACATTGTAAGATAATCCTTCATAATGTCTAATATATTTATTTAAAGGATTCCCATACTGACCTATAAAAAATAAAGAACAGTCTGAATTAGTATCATCTTGAAGACCTCTTCTGTTCTAACATGATGCCATAAGTATTCAAATATCTATGAATATATATGAAACAACTTCTCCCTAATCCCAGCACTAATATTATGAATTCTTCATTCATATTAACATACATATTATTAAAACTTATCATGATAGTAATTTCAACATCACACACAAGTTTGGATGTTAGCCATATTTGTTTTAGATGTCCTTTATCAGGCTGACCAAGTTCTCTTCTATTCATATTTTGCTGATAAAAACTATCAGAGCCAGGTGCAGCGGCTCACGTGTGTAATCCCAGCACTTCAGGAGGCTGAGATGAGAGGACTGCTTGAGGCCAGGAACTCGAGACCAGCCTGGTCAACACAGTGAGACCTCATCTCTAATAAAAATAAAAAATAAATAATTGCTGTAATTTTGTTTAGAATTTTGCCATCTGTGTTCACAGGATATACTGGCTTAGTTTTCTTATACTATCTTTGTCAAGTTGTGATACCAGGGTTAAAAAGATATACTCAGAAGTATTACCTCTTCTTCAATTTTCTGGACAAATTTATGTAGAATGAGTGTTCAGCCCGGGACTAATTATTCCTACTGAGGCTACACCTATCTTAGACCCAAGGCTCCATGAACTGAGTTTTTCCAGTCTACTTGGTAAGAAAAGGCACTGTTTATAGCCCCATATGAGCAGCAGGTACTGTTCAATGTAATCTTTTGGGATGACTCTTTTCTCTGGCCTCAAGTAGTTTCCTCACATTGGCTGATTAGAGCTCTGCATATCTCAGAAATCCTCTGTGCAGCTCTCTCTTCACCCTAATATTCTATCTGTGAACTCCACTCACTTTGGTCTCCCCTGATTCTCAGCTTCATCTCCTTAACTGAGGGAGTTCACTGGACTCTACCTAGGTTCTCTCTCTACCTAGGTTTGTATCCACAAACCCAATCCAGAAATCTCTCAAGGCCATCCACAAACCCAATCCAGAAATCTCTCAACGCAGAAAGTTGGCACAAAGAGCCAACCTTATTGTTTCCCCTCTCAGGGGCCCTCACTATGTGATGACCATGCCTTAAAAACCATTGTTTCGCCAGATGCAGTGGCTCACGCCTGTAATCCCAGCACTTTGGGAAGCCAAGATGGTGGATCGTCTATGGTCAAGAGTTGGAAACCAGCCTGACCAACATGGTGAAACTCCGTCTCTACTAAAAACACAAAACCTAGCCAGGCGTGGTGGTGTATCCTGTAATCCTAGCTACTCAGGAGGCTGAGGCAGGAGAATGACTTGAACCTGGGAGGCAGGAGGTGCAGTGAGCCAAGATTGCACCATTGCACTCCAGCCTGGGCAACAAGAGTGAAACTCGGTCTCAAAAAGAACAAAAAACAAACACACACACACACACACACACACACACACAC